CCTAAGGTGACCAAAATGGGCAGCTGTGCGAGTTAGTCCAACAGAGCGGACTTTTGGGGGGGTGAGAAGCTCAGTGGGCGTGGAACGCGGAGGCCCACGATAGCAGAGGTACATGGAATGGTAGCCAAGGCCCGTTGCAAAGCCGTTGCTTCCGGGACGAAAGAGAACTGGCTCTCTGGCGCGCATAAACAAGCGTGTTTAATTGCAGAGGGGGGGCTGAGTCAAGCCAGAAGCAGTGCCAGAGCAGAGCCAAAGCACAATGGGCTAACGACGGAGATTGAGTGCACAGCTTGATTTGCACCGCTTGGTCCTGCGCAGGTTTCTATGATTCTGGAGGAGAATCTGTTAGTGCAGCATGTATCCTCACCGCGTGCCTCCTACCAGTTTGCAACTGTCCACAGGGATGTACCCCCTCCACTCAGACTTCGCCTCAGGCCAGTTCCCCCCGCTAGTGTATGATTGGCCAGGAATCTAGGCAACAGCCTGAGAGCCCCAGCCGTGGGCTGAGACGGATCCCCCCCAAGTCCCCCCCCCAAGTCCGCTGCCAGTTTTGGGTTGGTTTCTAAGCATCCACCCTCTGGAAGTGTCTTCCGTCTCCGCTGCGCTGCTCTAAGAGCACCATTCACCTTGACCGTCATCACACTGCTCACACGCTCTCTCTCCTCCTCCAACTTGCCTCCCTTTTTATTCACTTCAAACCCTTTCCCACCCCAAAACCTGAGGCCGCCGTGCTTTTCAACTCACTCGATTCGTACTTGATCTCGTTCTCGTCCCAGGTCGTCCGCATCAACATCCTGCGCCGCTGTTTGGTTCTGTCTGGCTATTGGCATCTGCAGACCCCCTCCCTTCTTCGTCTAGACCACCCCATCTCCTCATATACCTTTAGAGCCCCGTCGCCTCTCGCCCAGCCGACCCGCCCTCTCTCTCAACTCCATATCCATTTTCACTGCATCATCTGCTCAAAATCGAAAATTCATCAAGCCGTACGTGGTTTTCTCACCTGGTTTGCGGATCAATTCGAACCCTGGTTTTCTGTCGACTGCGATATTTTTTAATCGCCGGCCTCCGCCTCATTCCTCGTACACATCTTTCGTTAGCGTTCCATCCTCGTCTCCTGCTCTGCGTCACCCAACTACATCTGCGCGCCTCTCCTTCGACAGATCCAACTTTGGCTACGCCCTTTGTCGTAGCAAACTGGGTACAAACTCCTTTCCATTGTCTTCTCTCCCCGTCTCTCTTCGTTCCTGTTCCTATCATCCCAAGTTATCACTCAAGCCCTACTTTTCTTATGCTTTCATTGGTGATTTCTCACCATCCCCTTGCTGAACCTTGGTCCGGTATCTAGTCAAGGTCCCCTTCCTCCCCCAACCCGGGTGTGTGGGAATTAGGAACGTTGACTGTGACTCACCTGCCGCACTCTTTTCCCGCTGCTTGCATCAACTCTCAATCCAGACAACTAATCTTTTCTTGTTCCCCCTCCCAGCTTCAGGACACCCGTGGCCATCAGTCGACTGTACGGTTTACCGTTCTCCACTATCAGAAGTCTAAGCCATGTCCTTCTCAAACCCTCGAAGGACTTCCCCGGTGACTCGCTCGGGAAGCGACACCGACAACACCCTTTCACTTAAGACCAACATGACCCTCCGTAAGGGTGCAACCTTTCATTCTCCTTCATCTCCTGCTTCTCCTGAACTGGACTTTTCCCCTCCTCGTCTGCCTCGATCTCAGTCTCACATGGATGATGTCGTCGATGCCAATCGTCGTCGCATGGCTTTGACCCTCAACGAGTTCGACATTGCCCTATCCCAGACCGACGAGCTTTCCCTTTCACCCAAGTCTTCTCACAACTCTCTTCGTGACGTTAGCCTACCCGTTCCTCGCGGCCTGCTCGACCTTCCCGTCGTCGATCCCGCCATGGCCAAGGAAGCTGAACGACGTGTTCTCCGCCCTCGCTCTGTCCGTCGCTCTCGTCACCATGCTTCCGACAGTGGCCTGGGTACATCCGTCGCTTCCACCAACGAGAAGAATGCCGTTCAGACGGCGGCAAAGAAGAACACAAAGACTCAAGTCATTCGCTCTGCCATCACCCGCTCTCCTGCCGCCATGGAGGAGCTTCCTGGTCTATCGGCCAAGGCCTACTCCCGTGTCACTGAACACATTCTCCGCCCTCTTCTCAGCGCCACCAGGCTCAAGGATTTCGAGCCCATTGTGCGCGACGTTCCTCGGCAAATTCAGTCCAAGGAGATCATCTGCTTGCGAGATTTAGAAAAGACGTTGATCTTTATGGCTCCGGTAAGTCAGCTTCAGACTGATGTTGGTTTGTGGGGAGACGCTTATCGGAAGTTGTGCTTGAAGGAGAAATCAAAGACCGCTGCTCTGTACATCGATTTCTGCTTCGCCTCGATCACCTGCATCCAAGCCACCGTCGAACTATTTAGCGATCGCGAACAGACTCGACCTGGAGATCGACCTTACACTAACGGTTACTTCATCGACTTGCGAGACCAGATTCTTGAATACGGCAGACAACTCGCCGCCTCAAAAGGCGGTGTTGAAGCGATGGATATCGACGCGTATGTGCCTAGATTCATCCCTCTGGACTACTCAACTGACATTCCTTCAAGCTCTGACGAGATCAAGCTCGTCGGTGGCATTGCTGAGACAGGCCGCCCCGCCGAACTTGTCCGTGTTTGCAAGGACGGTACTCACATTTCCATGGCTACTGGTAAGGTTATTGAGGTTGATGAAGCACCCACCAAGATCAAGCGGTCAATGAGTGAACGACTTGAGGATGACGAGGAGATCATGCGCTCCATGGCCCGCCGCAAGAAGAACCCTACTCCCGAAGAGCTGGCGCCCAAGAAGTGCAGTGAGCCTGGCTGCAATAAGCAGTTCAAGCGACCCTGTGACTTGACCAAGCACGAGAAGACTCACTCTCGTCCTTGGAAGTGCCCTATTCCCACGTGCAAATACCACTCGTATGGATGGCCAACTGAAAAGGAAATGGATCGCCACATCAACGACAAGCACTCCGACGCTCCCGCCATGTACGAGTGCATGTTCAAGCCCTGCCCTTACAAGTCGAAGCGCGAGTCCAACTGCAAGCAGCACATGGAGAAGGCTCATGGCTGGACCTATGTCAGAACCAAGACCAACGGCAAGAAGATGACGACTGCCATGTCAAACAGCACGGCTCAACCAACTCCTCCTCTTGGCAATGTGTCTACTCCGTCTACAACTCCCGCTTACAGCGTGCCTACTCCTCCCCAGGAAAGCACTCCTCAGTTCATGGGCAACGATTTCCCTCTCTACCCTACCGATTCTGACTGGATCTCTACCTACGGCATTCAGCCTGAAACACTGGACATGGACATCAGCCTCGAGAACCATTCACCCGTCTCCACCAGCTCCTACGAACAGTTTGCGCCCGCTCCTTATCAGAACGGCTCCGCGTTCATTTTGAACGGCGAAGATCTCTACGCAGCTCCTGTCCAGCTCCCTACTCAGTTCCCTATCGCTGAACAGCTCGTTATGTACAACCACAACACCAACCAGAAGATGATGGCGCAAGAAATGCCCATGTTTCAAGCACCTCAGCCGTGCCCTGCGCCGACTGCTGCCCCTCACTTCTCTCCGGTCGGTCAGGAAAACGCAATGCTCTTCACACCCAACTCCCTTCGCGATGTTGATGAGGGCTTTGATGATTCCTTTGGCGGAGAAGGCCTAGACTTCGCTCTCTTCCCCAACGGCAGCACCAACTACAAGATCAACGACGCGCAGCCACTCTTTGGAGAGATTCCCAGTGCTGGCGTCGGCTTTTCCCAAAATACTCAGCAGGATCTCTTCCCGCTTGACTGGGCCAACGTGAACCCAGAGTATTTCCCAGAGTAAGATAACTCTGAGGAGAATAAAAAACACGAGACAGTTGCGAATCAGAACAAAGCAACTGAGTTTATAACGAGATTGTATCCATCCTTCTATCCTCAAAAACGTTTTGATTTTTTTGTTTCAATTATGAATTCACGACGGACTTTTTGGTTTCTTTTCTTCAAGGCTACCCAGTGTGGGATAGAGGCCTTCTCATGTAATAAGAGCGGATGCGTGTATTTTTTTTTCCTTTCTCTATTCTTTTTCCTAGATGGCTTTGTTTATCGCTAGCTGGGATGGGGATTTGGCAGGACTGGAAGGATGGATAGTTGGAGGATGAAGATTTGATTGATGCATATGGGAAAACCAAAGAATGAAATTGGCTATCATATAAGCACAACACAAAACACACAACACAGACCGGCACAGCATGACTCGGCGCAAGTCAATGCTTCAGTTCAGACTTTGAGATTTGATTTTTCTGTCACTGGCATAGAGTTCGCCTCTCTTCTTCTCTCCTACCTGGCTTTACATAGTACCAAACTCACATCAATCAATTCAATCATGGAACCAATTTCTCTCAGAGTGCGATGCTCAGTTGACCCACCCATATAACTTTGATGATGGCCACCCCTCAAACTAAATGAGTAAGTTGAAATACAACCATTTTTGAAAGAATGAACTTGCGAAGGATAGGTGGCCAGATACGGGGTGTCTGAATATGCTTGGAGAGACTCGGGGGCGACGCTTTCTGCCTCGCCGGATGTTAGCGGTAAATGTCGGATACCCCCAAATCAGCCTTGTGTCTAGCACAAGGAACGCACTGTATGTATGTCGGATGGAACTCCACCAAGATAACTGACGACCCTGTCTGGTTGGCCCACGGCAGATTTACACGGAGTGACTCACTACCGAACAGGCGAGAGTCCAAGTTGGGCTAGGCGTGAGTCTATGTTCGAGTTTTTGTCTCAATTTAATAATAGCACGGAAAATGGATGCATGAAGTTACGTGGTATTTTGACTGAGAAGAAAAAGACTAAAGAAAAAAATCTCGAGGAAAGAATGCCTTGTCCACGCAGTCAGATGGGAGGCAGTACTATATATACATGCATTATGACGTGAACTGTCAGCGGGGCAGAGTGGCCGAGTGGTTAAGGCGTTGCACTTGAATTCCTAATTCAGATATGCAATACGTTCGCGTTCGCAAGTTCGAATCTTGTCTCTGTCGAAGAATATTTTTTTTGAGTTGTCGCATAATGTTTTTGTGATTTCTTTTTGGCTTTTCTTGTAAGCCTTGCTTGTCTAACTCTCTTTTTGAACTATTGACCGGAAATTTGCTGTGACCGAGGATATCTGCCCAGTTAGCCTTTGTTTCGAGAAGCCTGTCCACCCAAGACATATATATATATTTGATAGGCATCAAGGCCAAGGCTGTGGTTTCCCAACGACCTACCTACCTACTGCAGTGGCACTGCGACTACCATTGCGGCTTCCTAATATAGCTATGGGACTGACGTATCTCCCAGTCCAAGAAGATAAGTAAATAAAACAAGCCTTTCTTCACAATCTCTCATCGGATCCTACCAATTATTAGCCATTTACTCGATGATTATTGGCACCATAACCATCACCAAATCATCAATTTTGTTTTATTAATCAGTTTGTCCTATATGATTTTCTCTCTCCCAGTTCCCTCATCAACTGTCCCATTATCTATATCTTTTGGGTTTTGCTTTTTCCCAGTCGATCATTTTATGGAAAGACAACAACAAGAATTCGAGCTACTATCCAATGACCCTGCAGCATTTATAGAGTCACATAGAGCCACCATCAATCTCCTTTTTCAAGGATTTACCAAAAGACGTCAATAAGCGTTGGGGTGTATACCTCCTTGTCCTGGAAAAGCCTGGATGCAGACCTAAAACATATGTGGGTTCTGGAACGCAATTCAGTCTAGGCATCTCTGTTCGCTGGAGTCAATATGACGAAAAGATAATTTTGCCTCGATATGTCGAGAAAGCATTGGAAGACGGCTATAATATAATAAACAAAGGGTTTATCTGCTGGTCTCCGATCCCGACAACTAAGCCTAGAACCGTCAATAGATATGCAATCCGACATCTGTTTCTCATCCTGGAGACGATATTTGCTGCAATATTTTGGACAATGGAGTCCAAAATAAAAGATTATCGCCTGCCACCAATCCCCAACGCCAAGCAGAGCTTGAGGGTTGAAATGACGCTCGAACAGGCATGCCCGCCAGAATACTGGCGGGCGCGATGTGCGTTCAAAGATTCGATGATTCACTGGATTCTGCAATTCATATTACTTATCGCATTTCGCTGCGTTCTTCATGCAGAGCTTGCAACATACGATGCAGAGTTGAAGGAAAGATGGCGTCTACACAGAATCAAAGGTTATCACGACTTTAAAAAACATGACTTTGAGGCTTAGCAAGCCCAATGCCGTATGTATGCTTCTAGACGGGATCCTATCGAGAAGAAAGAAACAGCAAAAAATAGGGCCACCCGAAAATATGCTTGCGACATTTGCGACGTTGCCTTTCCATCACAGGCCAACCTAAACGAGCATTTCAAGACACAGAAGCATATCGACAATGTCAATGGCATCGTACACGCTCCTACAAGTGCTGATGGCATGTGGAAAGCCGACAATGTTGCTGCTCGGAGGTTTGTTCAGGATATCATTAAATTTGGAGGTGTTCAGTGCTTCTAAGCGTGACTACCAAAAACAAAAAAGGAAAGCAAAGGAGAGGAGTTGCGATACAAAAGAAACACAAATAGCATTGAGGATTCGCCAGTCGTCATTGACCGAGCAACTAATTTGACATTCACGAGCTTCTCGAATAGAGATTGGATGAGACCATGATTTCACTGGTGGCTATGGCTGTATGTACTTTTCTTACACTATCCCCATAAATTTTATCGTCGTTGTTCGAGTTGGGTTGTACAGACCTGTTACCACTATAGCGCCAACTTTCAAAACCAGGTACAGGGTAAGCTGCTTGGTCACGGACGTAGGTATGTGGAGAATCTGCACACAGACCTCTCATGCAACTACCAGGATATTTTTAGACAGCTGCCCTCCTCTTTTGTCGAGGACTCAAGCTTGACGCGTTCACAGCTTCTTTCTAGACGCACCAAAATGTGCGGCATCCATGCTGCCATTTCGTCATCACCTGACTCTCCCATCTCACCCGAAGTTCTGCGCTGCCTCGCCAAAAGAGGACCTGATCACACCGGAACTGTGCAAACACAGATTACGGGTAGAGATGATGCCCAACAGGCCGCGCTCTATTTGAGCTTCACGTCGACTGTGTTGGCCCTCCGAGGTGATCATGTGGCTAAGCAGCCCCTCGTGGACGATGCTGCTGGCTCCGTTCTTTGCTGGAACGGCGAAGCTTGGGCTATCCGAGGACGACCTGTGCAAGGGAATGATGGAGAGGCCGTCCTGGCTCTGTTAGCAGAGGCAAGCCGTAGTGCGGCGACAGATCCAGAGTCTGTGCTCAATGCTCTACGTTCCATCGAAGGCCCATTCGCCTTCATCTACTTTGACAAGACGGCGGGACGCCTGTACTACGGACGCGACCGCTTGGGCCGCAGGTCATTGCTCATCAAAGCTGGCCAACCGTTTGTGTTATCTAGCTTCGCCGAGGACCCCTCCGAGGCCTGGAAGGAGGTGGAGGCTGATGGGTGCTATATGCTCCAGCTGGATGAGGGCAAATTGCCCGACGAGATGGTGCCTATGCGTCTTGACTGGGACCCAGACACCTCTCTGGTGAGTTTCTCTTCGTGAATGGCCTTCCTTCCCTAAGGGTAAATCCTGCTACTTACTTAATTTAGGTTTCAGGTATCGGAGTATTCAATAACACCGTTCCCCAAGAGCCTTACAAGCTGACCTCGGAGTCTAAGCCAGTTCAAGTCCTACAGCAACATCTGGAAGAATCTCTGAGGCTTCGAGTGCTGGATGTGCCCTTGCCACCGAAAGCTTCCCAGACGGATGCGAGGGTCGCAGTGCTCTTTTCGGGAGGACTTGACTGCACTGTTCTCGCCCGCCTTGCTCATGAACTCATTCCCCTAGACCAGTCGATTGATTTACTCAATGTAGCGTTTGAGAACCCGAGAATCGCGGCACAGAACAAGGACTTTTCTCGAGAGGATCTCTACGAGAAGTGCCCTGACAGAATCACAGGGAGGAATGCTTTTCGTGAGCTAAGTCGGATCTGTGGCGATCGGTCATGGCGCTTTGTTACGGTACGTGTAAACCCATACAGCCTACAAATATGCAATATTTTTTCTTTTTTACTCAACATTATGGCAGATAAATGTACCATACAAGGAGACACTAGAGCATAGACCTGAGATTGTGAGAATGATATATCCGCACAATACGGAGATGGATCTCTCCATTGCCTGTGCGCTCTACTTTGCGGCAAGGGGTCAGGGACTCGGCGAAACGAGGCTGAGACCAGAGCCGCAGCCATACGGTACCACGGCTCGTGTACTACTATCTGGACTGGGAGCCGATGAGCTCTTTGGTGGATACGGGCGACATGGTGTAGCATACTCGCAACGAGGCTACACAGGCCTTGTGAGTGAGCTAGAGCTTGACGTGAGCCGGCTAGGCAAACGAAATCTTGGTCGAGACGACCGAGTGATGTCGCACTGGGGACGAGAAGTGCGCTTCCCTTATCTGGATGAAAGGTTCGTCAAATGGGCGATTGAATCACCGGTGTGGGAGAAGTGCGACTTTGAGAACCCAAGCGACCTGGACGAGAACAACATCGAACCCGAAAAGAGGGTACTGCGCCTCCTGGCTAAGTCCCTCGGGATGGAATCAGTTTCGCGTGAAAAGAAGCGAGCGGTAAGTATCATTTATGCGCAAGACTTGCAAGTAGATCAAGGGACTGATGACACATTTGGCGACAGATCCAATTTGGGGCAAGAACCGCAAAGATGGAGAGTGGAAAGGTCAAGGGGACAAGTCTTATATCAGGATGAAACGGCGATCGGGATCAAGTGGTTCCTGGCTCCCCACTCCCCCCCATACCTCCCCCCCAAAAAAGGGATCTGGCAATGATGATACTCAGATACTTCCGAGACGCTGCGGCCACAAGAAACACCAATGGCTTCTTCCCCCGGAACAGGTGTGTAGTTTGCTGGGCCGACACCGACACAGCTAACCCACCACTGGGGGGAGTTCCTTTATGGGATTGAGTTCTTACTGGAAGAGTAGCGTTGATGAGGTCGTAAAAGGCAAGTCTGAGCCGATGGGAACGATAAAGATGAAATCATGGTAGCATGCATGAATGTGGAGTAGATGAGGATGAAAAAAATGATGGTTATGGTTGTGGTGATGATGATAGAGACGATGGAGGTGGTAGTGGTGGCGACGATGACGATATGGTGATGGTCATGACTGACAGAGTTCTATTTTATGCATAAGGATAGCATGAAGAAGTGAACTGAATGAATAAACAAATAAAAATAAAAAGTAGTCTACATGAATGCATGAATAAACCAATGGCATGATTAATCTGTACTTTGTTGGTGGATGTGAAGCGAGTAGGGCGGCTTGTTTTCATGTGGAGCAGTAAATTGGGAGGCCCCCATGCATGGCTTTTCTGGTACCCTGATGTTCTGTTGTTTAATAGGCTGAGAATCAAGGAGAGAATGCAGCCCGGCGGCCGCGAAACACCTGACGCAGTTTGGGATTGACCAGGGTTCGTTCACCATTCGGGCCATTCGGGCCATTCTTTTGTCGTTTGGGCCATTTTTAGACGTTTTCCGAACCCACTTTGCAGCCCGTATCTGCCGCCTTGAGGGGCTAAGAACAGGGACGAGACAAAAAAGACAGGACAGTGACGGTGATAGTGACAGGACGTGAACAGGGGGATCAAGAGACCGGAGGCAAGCGATGGAGTTTTGAGAGAGAGAGAGAGAGAGAGAGGGAGATAGATAGATAGAAAGAGATACAGACAGAAGAAACAGGGAGAACAGAGAGAGGCGCCCGCAGATAGATAAACGGATACAGGAAAGGAAAATAGACCATGTGAATTAAAAAAAAGAAGGCTGGCTTTGACTTCCTCTGGTTGGGCTGGCTGGTGCGACGTACCCCTGACGCCCATCACCCGAAATCTTGAAGCATCAACAACATGCAGGCGGCTGGGCCGGCTTGGTTGGTTAGTTGGTTGGCTGTTTTTCTTTG